GGTGACCCGCGCACCCCCATCTTTGAGGGGTGTTCCCACTCCCCCCTTTTGCCCTCTGTTGCCTCTGCTGCTGCGGCCGACCTCGTTGGGCTTGAGTCGGTCGGTGCAGCGTCTACCCCTAGTGGGAGACGCCGCTCTGGCAAGGGCAAGGGGGGCAGGGGCGCTGGAGGAGCTAGCGGGGGCGGTGGAGGCGGCGGTGGAGGCGGCGGAGGGAGTGGGGGTGGCGGTGGGGGTGGTGGCGGGGGTGGAGGTGTCGGTGGCGGCAGTGGAGGCGGAGGCGGCGGCGGTGGCGGTGGGAGCGGAGGTGGTGGAGGTGGCGGAGGTGGAGGAGGCGGTGGCGGAGGAGGAGGAGGAGGAGGAGGTCGTGGCTCTTCGCAGAGGAGTGGCTCCGGTGGTGGTCAGCGCCAGCAGCAGCAGCGCAGTCGGGAGACCCTGTCCCCTCAGCAGCTCCGTGAGTGGTACGCTGCACGCCAGCGGGGTGGGGGTACTGGTCCGTGCACCTACGTCCTGCGCACCGGCGACCGTGCGGGTGAGCAGTGTGGGGGTGCGCACCCCACCCAGCGCTGCTTTGGCCGCCTGACGGACGCTTGGCGTCACCAGTTCCCTGAGGCCACTGAGATCCCTCGCTTGGGCGAGCTGTCTAGGGCAGGGGTAGCTATCTTTGACCTTGACTTTGATGCTATCCTTGCTGCTATGTATACTGTGTCTATTAGTGAGGAGGGTGACTGTTACTGGTGTTTCCCGCCCTACCCGGGCATTGAGCCTGCTGCTCTAGGTGCTGGTGAGGCTGCTGCTCTTGGTGCTAGCGAGGCTGCTGCTCTAGGTGCTAGTGCGTCTACTTCCTCCGGTACTGGTGAGTCTGCACTCTCAAGTACTGCGTCGGCTTCAGCCTCCCACACCTTCACACTTCACTCGGGGGCTTCTCGATCCTTCTTTCGAGACCGCACCACACTCACGCCGCTTGGTCGGCTAGTTGCGGTCTCTCTGGCAGACTTCTCTGGGGGTCATGTCCTTGCTCACTTCTCTCCTGTCCTCCCTTGTCCGCCGGCCCCCTCTAGCACCCTTTCTAGTCTTTACCTCCCCTCGTTCTCTACGAACTTGGTGAGTGGTGCTGACCTACAGGATGCGGGGGTTCACCACTTCACTCCTGCGAGTCAGCGGGTGACCCACTGCACGGACGCTCGGAGAGGCCGACACCTGGCCACGTTTACACGTCGGCCGGGGTCAAGCCTGAACACACTGACCACTGCGTCTCCTCCAGTCCCTGCGTCTGGTCAGGTAGCTGCGTCGGGTCAGGTGTTAGCTGCAACGTCTAGGTCTGGTCCTGAGTCTGCCCCCTGCTCGTGTCGCCTCCTGTCTCACGAGACTCTCCTCTGGCACCACCGCCTTGGTCACTCCTCCCTGCTTCGTCTCCGAAGCATGGCCTCCCGTGTCCTTTTCTCTGGTCTTCCCCGGTCCCTCCCTCCCCTTCCTCCGGGGCCTGGCCCTACCTGCGTCCCCTGTGTCGAGGGGCGGCAGCGGGCTACCCCTCACTCCTCCCAGTTTCCTCCGACAGAGGCCCCGCTGCAGACGCTTAACATGGACGTGTGGGGCCCAGCCCGCGTCCGTGGACAGGGTCAAGAGCGCTACTTCCTGCTGGTGGTTGACGACTACTCGCGTTACACCACAGTCTTCCCCTTGCGCAGCAAGGGTGATGTCACTGAGGTGTTGATCGACTGGATCCGCGCAGCTCGTCTCCAGCTCAGGCGGAGCTTCGGCTCGGACTTTCTTGTTCTGCGTCTGCACTCTGACAGAGGCGGAGAGTTCTCCTCTGGCCTTCTGCGAGCCTACTGTCGTGCACGGGGTATCCGCCAGACCTTCACGCTTCCGGACTCTCCACAGCAAAATGGGATTGCTGAGCGCCGCATTGGCAGGGTCATGGACGTCGCCCGTACGTCCATGATGCATGCGGCTGCCCCCCATTTTCTATGGCCGTTTGCGGTTCGGTACGCGGCGCATCAGATCAACCTTCAGCCCAGGGTCTCCATGCCGGAGACCTCCCCAGCTTTGCTGTGGACGTGGAAGGTTCGCGATGCGTCTGCGTTCCGTGTCTGGGGATCTCGAGCGTTTGTCCGCGACTTGTCTGCGGACAATCTGTCTCCTCGTGCTGCTCCTTGCGTCTACCTGGGTTTCCCCCCTAACGGCCCAGGGTGGCAGTTCTACCACCCCACCTCTCGCCGTGATCTGTCCTCCCAGGACGTCACGTTCGACGAGTCGGTCCCCTACTACCGTCTCTTCCCCTACCGCACTCCGTCCCTCCCCCCACCACCGCTCTTCCTTGTGCCAGGTCCCCCCCCGGTAGACCCCCTCCCCCCTCAGGGTCCTGCCCCTTCAGGTGTGTCCCAGGTAGACGCAATCGAGCCTGTCGAGGTTACTGGTGACTCTGGTGCTGCTGAGGGTGCTGAGCCTGGGGGTGCTGATTCTGGGGGTGCAGAGCATGTGGGTGCTACGCCTGGGGGTATTGAGCCTGAGGGTGCTACGCCTGGGGGTGCTGAGCCTAGGGGTGCTGAGCCTGGGGGTGCTACGCCTGGGGGTGCTGAGCCTCGGGGTGCTGAGCCTGGGGGTGCTGAGCCTGGGGGTGCTACGCCTGGAGGTGCTGAGCCTGGGGGTGCGGAGCCTGAGGGAGCTGGGCCTGGGGGTGCTACGCCTGGAGGTGCTGAGCCTGGGGGTGCGGAGCCTGAGGGAGTTGGGCCTGCTGGTGCTGTGCCTGGCGGTTCTCCGGGTGCTTCTTCTCGCCGGGAACCACTCTCTCCACAGGAGCTGCGTGAGTGGTTTGCCCGGCGCTGGAGGCGAGCTGCTGGAGCTGGAGGTGCTGCGGGTACTGGAGGTTCTGTTGCTACTGAGGGAGCTGGTGCCACGGGTCCCGGAGGTGCTCGTACTGGGAGTACTGGAGCTACTGGGCCTGCGGGTACTTCTGGAGCTAGAGCTGCTGCGGGTGTTGGCGCGGAGGCTACTGCTGTCGGTCCTGGAGGCGGTCCTGCTAGGGGTACTACTGGTGCTGCTGGGGGTACTGGAGCTGGAGCTGCTTCTGGTGCTGGTGCTGCCATTGGGGGTGCTGGTGCTGTCCCTGCTGTGTCTGGAGTCACCGCGCGGCCTCGGCCGTACTTCGTTCCGCTCATTCAGCAGGTTCTTGGTCTACCGTCTTCTACTGGTCCTCCTCCTCCCTTAGAGTGTCCACAGCATGTCCCGTCGCAGTTACAGTTACAGCCGGCCTCCCCACTGCCTACTCCTTCTCCCTACACTGGTCCTACTGGAGGTCTTGCTGAGCGTCGTGAGCCTGCGTCTCGCCCTGCGTCGCCTGTCCGTGCTGCTCGCACTAGTGGTCGCAGTTCGCGTCAGCGTCCTCCTCCTGACCCTGGCACGCACCGGATGTCTCTGCGTCCGTCCACTGCTCCTTTGCGTGCCCCTTTGCCTTCTCCTCCTGAGTCTTCTCTTCCTGCTCTTGCCGACCCGGAGTCGGACTCTCTTCGTGCTGCCAGTCCTACTGTCACGCGTCTCCTTGCTACTGTTGTCACTGACCCTTCCTTTGAGACCACTGCTGCGTCTGCCCTAGTTGCTGAGCTCGTCGACTTTGCTGCTCGCTGTCGCCTAGACTACGCCGCCAGTCTTGTTGCTGAGTCTGAGTCTGTCTGTCCTCCGTCCGTCGGGGGTGAGTGTGCCCTTGGCACGGACGTCCTTGAGGACAGGCAGGAGGAGTTCCAGTGCTTGGCCGCTGCTTCACCTCATCTCGTGTCCGTATTGCTTACCCCTGAGGGAGACCCAGATGCACTTGACATCCCGACTCCGCGCTCATACGCGGAGGCGATAGAGGGTCCCTACTCCTCTTAGTGGCATGCAGCTCTGGACGTAGAGATGGCTTCCTGGAAGTCCACAGGCACCTACGTTGACGCTGTTCCCCCTCCTGGGGCGAACATCGTCAGTGGCATGTGGATTTTTAGGGTGAAGCGACCGCCGGGTTCTCCGCCTGTCTTCAAGGCGTGTTACGTGGCTCGTGGCTTCAGTCAGCGGCAAGGAGTTGACTACTTTCAGACCTTCTTTCCCACCCTGAAGATGACCACTCTTCGGGTACTGCTGCACATAGCTGCTCACCGTGACTACGAGCTACACTCTCTTGACTTCATCTTCCCGTTAAGGATTTTTAACTCAGGAATGTTTATTCAACTATTCAATATCGTAACAGGGTGGTTTGGGCGCGATCGTGTTGGCGGGCATGGTGCCAAGGCGTGTGCCGCGAGGTGGTAATTGGCTACTGTTGCATGTACAGTGGCGGGAACAGTCGTGTACGCGGTATTTAATGTGCCTGGAAATAAGGAAAAGTTGTTTCGTTACACTAATATTGAGATTTCAGGTAGCCTTGTAAATGTATACGCTCTTTATGAAGGGGATGGAAGGAGTCTCAAATTCCTGAATGGGTTACGCTACAACGCGTACAACTTCCCGCCTAGGCTACCTCCCGTCGCTTTCGGCCTTCGAGGTCCTTCGCCGAGCTACATCTTTAGTGGGCTTTCATTTATATCAAGGCACAACTTCGATATTGCTTTTCCGCACACTCGTAACAACGCATAACAGCCTCCGTGAATCGTAGTCGCTCGAGTGTGCAGATCGCAACGCCCAAAGAACGTTGTATGCTCCGCTCGTCAGGTGCAGCTGGTTTTGGTGAGTTGGAATGGCTGGCCGCGAGAACTCGTCGGCGGACTGGATGGCGCGTTTGAGCGCGCCTTGCGCTCCATGCAGCCTGGTGGGTTGCCGTTGAAACCACCACTCGCAGCAACTGTAACCTGCGTAACCCTAATCGAATCCATTTCAGCTGGAGCCTTTCAACCCTTAGGGTAAGCCCGCATGCGTTACACCTCCACTCCGCCCCGCCCATTCCGCCCCGCCCACTCTGCCCCGCCCACCCCGCCCCGCCCACTCCGCCCCGCCCACTCCGCTCCGCTCACTCCGCCCCGCCCACTCCGCGCATGTCGCTCCTTCCCGCGCTGTGTTATCAGTCACACTCACATCCCCTTCGTTCCCATCCATCGCCCGTGTGTCCCGCTGTGCCCCGCCGTGCCTTGCCTGCCGCGTCTCTGCGAAGCTCCAACCCATTGATTGCTCCAGATCGCTCCTCTCCGCTTCTTCAATGCACGTCTTCCCTCGCTGCCCTTCGCCTGACTCCACCTCCTACCTTCCCTGCTCTCTGTCCCGCTCCCCGCTCCACTCGCCCCCACCTCGTCTCAATCTCCTCTCCAACCGTTTTTCCGCCCCCGTCCCCGACTCATCCCACCCTGCGTCACACTGCTGTCTCCGCATTTTTGCTGCCGCTGCCCTACCGTGCCGACCGTGCCTACCGTGCCTACCGTGCCTACCGTGCCTGGCGTGTTTGTTGACGAGCAACAGCATCAGGCCCTGCACCTTCCACTCTCCTGACTCTCCCAATCCCTCCCCTCTCCGCCTCTCTCCCCTCTCTCCCCCCTCTCCCACTCTCTCCCCACTCTCCCACTCCCTCCCCTCTCTCCTTGCTCTCCCCTCTCTCCGTTCTCTCCCATCTCCCCTCTCTCCCGTTTTTCCCTCCTCTCCCCTCTCCTCCTTCTCTCCCCTCCCTCCCGCATCCAACCCCTGTCCCCGCCCTTCAGCCACCCAGTGCCACGGAATTCTGACTGCCGGGCCTGCCCTGGTCGAATGGACGCTGGGGCAGCAGCCGGGGAGGAGTGCTGGGGCTGGGAGGAAGAGGAAGAGGGGGAGGGAGGCGGAGAGCGGAAGGGGGAGCGGGTGGGGGGAGCAGGGGCAGCAGCGACAAGCCCCTGTGGCTGAGAGTGACGTCGCACGATTCAATTCGCTTGTTTTGCCGGAGGCTCCACTGGGTACCATGAGGAAACGACCCAGTAAAACCAGGTGGGCGGCGCAGCCAGATCTCCTCGTGCAGGCTGCCCTGCAAGAAAGCAGTGCTGAAGTCAAGAGAGTGAAGCTCGTAGTCGCGCTGAGCGGCTATGTGCAGCAGCACCCGAAGAGTGGTCATCTTTGGGGTGGGAGAGAAGGTCTGAAAGTAGTCAACTCCCTGCCGATGACTGAAGCCTCGAGCCACGTAACGCGCCTTGAAGACAGGCGGAGAACCCGGCGGCCGCTTCACCCTGAAAATCCACATGCCACTGACGATGTTCGCCCCAGGAGGGGGAACCTCGTCGACGTAGGTGCCTGTGGACTTCCAGGAAGCCATCTCTGCGTTCATGGCTGACTGGCACTGAGAGGAGTAGGGACCCTCTATCGCCTCAGCGTACGATCGAGGAGTCGGGATGTCTGGTGCATCCGGGTCTTCCTCAGGGGCAATCAGCGTGGACACGAGATGAGGCAAAGCAGCAGCAAAGCACTGGAACTCCTCCTGCCTGTCCTCAAGGACGTCCGTGCTAAGAGCACACTCACCCACAACGGACGGAGGACAGACAGACTCAGACTCAGCAACAAGACTAGCAGCGTAGTCTAGACGACAGCGAGCAGCAAAGTCGACAAGCTCAGCAACTAGGGCCGACGCAACAGTGGACTCAAAGGAAGGGTCAGTGACGACAGTAGCCAAGAGACGCGTGACAGTAGGACTGGCAGCACGAAGAGAGTCAGACTCCGGGTCAGCAAGGAGAGGAAGAGAGGACTCTGGAGGAGACGGCAACGGGACACGCAGAGGAGCAGTGGAAGGACGCAGTGCCATCTGGTGTGTACCTGGGACCGCAGGAGGACGCGGACGCGGAGCACGACGACTAGTGCGAGCAGCACGAACAGGCGACGCAGGACGAGACGCAGGCTCACGTCGCTCAGCAAAACCTCCAGTAGGACCAGGTCGTCGGCTCGCGGGATGGGGTAACGGGATTTGATGGTAACCCTGTTCAGTGCTCTGTAATCTATGCACATGCGAAATCCCCCGTATTTTTTCGGTGTGAACAGTATCGGTGCTGCGAAGGGCGACGAACTAGGGCGAATGAATTCCTTCTCGAGTAGGTAATCGAGCTGCTTCCTCAGTTCCTCCAGTTCGGGCTGGGTCAGTCGGAACTGTCACTGTACTATTGGCTATGCCCCCGGTTCTATCTCTATCCTGTGGTCGTGCGGTCGCTGAGGTGGCAGTCGCGTCGGAAAATCGTCCGAGAAAATGTCGTTGTACTGCTTCAATAGTGCTGCCAGGTCACTCGGTACGTCAGCCACCAGTTTCTATAAATTCCCTCCTTTGTCTGCTGCCTCGGCATCCCGAATGTCGACCGCGTACACGTCATCTCCTGCCGCTACGGTGTGTTTCATTGTGATCGCGTTGACACGCACCGACGAAGACTCAGGTGAGCCCCAGCGAGGTAAGGCGATGTTGTTACCGTTCACTCGCACGGTGCAGTCACCCGTCGTCCAGTCGATTCGCGGATTGTGTCGTCGCAACCAATCACGCCCGAGTAAAATATCGGTTCCGTCGAGGGTCGTTGCGAGCATTTCCTGGCTAAATGTGAAGTTACCCCTACATCGAATCCGAACCCGGTCTACGCGTTCCCGTATCGCCAGCGGCGTGCTGTCTACCAGTCTTGCGTCGATCTCAAGTAAGCATCTGTTCAGTGGCAGTCGCAGTTTTCGTGCTGTGGCAGTGTTGATGAGGCTGTGGCTGGCTCCCCCGTCTACGAAGATTACTACTAAGTCCGTCCCGATTTTCCCACTAAGCAGTATGGGGTTGTCTACCGTAGTACCCTCCTTATTCGGCCGGGTGTGGTCGATTGCGTGAACCGGCACAATCACTCGGTGAGAGTCGGTTGGGTCGGGCGAGCGGCATGACCTGTCAGTAGAGGGCCCGTCTGCTACTGACTCCTAGCGTTTCCCTGCTGCTTGGTCTATTTCTGCTGCTCAGCTTCCCCCTTTCCATTAGCGTTTTCTGGGCATTCGCTCTTGCGATGTGTAGAAACTCGGCAATTTCCAAGGATTTCGACTCACAGTCTCGTTGATGCGTTCCAACCTGCTGCAACTAAAGCTCGCACTCTGTTGACACGTGGATGAAACATCCACCTGAAACAGGTCATCTGCGCGTCCCCGTTCTCTTTCCCCTTCCACCCTCCCCCATTCCACCCTCTCATCCCTTCACTCCTCTTCACCCTTCTTCACTCATTGCTGCCGTGCAATGCAGCTGGTAGAGCTGAAGAATGGCGAGACGTACAACGGGCATCTGGTGAGCTGTGACACGTGGATGAACATCCACCTGTGCGAGGTCATCTGCACGTCCAAAGACGGCGACCGCTTCTGGCGCATGCCGCAGTGCTACGTGCGCGGCAACACCATCAAGTACCTGCGCGTGCCTGATGAGGTGCGTGGGTAGAGAGGGGGGAGGAGGGAGGGAGGTGGGGAGGCCTGGGGGAGAGGAGAAAGGGGAAGGGTGGTGGTTCGCTGTGTTTGGTTCTGCACGTGCGAGGACGGAGGCTGCTTCTCGCGTGGTTTGAGTCGGCTCACAACTTGCATGAGGGGAGGGAAGGGAGGGGTCTCATGTGCACGTGCAATGATGGCGACTGCTTCTGGCGCATGCATGGCGCACTGCTACGTGCGAGGCACCACCGTTAAGTACCTGCGCGTGCCTGATGAGGTGCGTGGGGAAAGAGCGGGGAGAATGGAGGGTGGGGGTTTGGGTGGTGTGTGCGTTGACCGTTGAGGGTATGTGTGTTGTCGGCTGCATGCGGCAGTGTTACGTGCGAGGCAACACCATCAGGCACCTGCGAGTGCCAGGCGAGGTGGGTGGGGGGTGGGGGTTGGGGGGAAATGGGGCAGGAAGAGCGTTCCCTGTGTCTTGTCTTGTAGTTTCAAGAGTGCTACGTGTCACTGTGAGGCAACACTGTCGCGTACCTGCGAGTGCCACATGAGTTGGGCGGGTGGGTGGGTGGTGTGTGCTGTGACCGTGAAGGGTGTGTGTAGTGTCAGCTGCATGGTTGAGATGATTCACCTTGGACCTTAGCTGCATAAGGGTGTGACCCGTAGTTGCCTCAACATGGACCTTTTGGAATGATCGGTGCTTTCTGTGTGCCCCAATCCATCCATGTTCATTGTATGCGTTTCTAGATTTGAGTCGACTCAAACCTCGATTCTTTTCTTGTGTGGCCCACTCGATCCATGTTCATTCATTGTGAGCGGTTCAGGTATTTGGCAAAGTTCCCAAGTCCAAAAAGGTGAAGTTCTTAGTCGACTCAAATGTCACGTGCTGTGCCATCATGTGTGTTGTCTTCTCCATCCCTCCGTGAACATTGTGTGTTGTGTGCATCCCAGGTGATCGACAAAGTACAAGAGGAGGTCATCAGAAGACAAGGTAAACTACTCCATGCCTTGCCACATTACCCTAACGGCACATTGCTTTCCATGCCATGCTGTCACGCCATGCTTACCCTCTCGCCTCGCCTCCATGCCCCCCTCGTTTCCGCACCCCCTCTCCCTACCCGCTTCGCTCCCTGCCCCCCCCCTCGGTACCCCCTCTCTCTGTGAACCCCTCTCTTTGTACCCTCCTCGCTCCCTACCCCTTTCTCCCAACTCTCCTCTCTCCGTACCTCCCGCACTTCCTGCCCCACTCACTCCTATCCCCCTCTCCGTCCAATTATCTCTCCCTCTGCCCCCCTCTCTGTACCATCTTTTTCTGTACACCTTTCACGTCCTGCCACCCTCACTCCCTTCAGATAGCAGGCCAATACAGCAGGCAGATAGCAGGCCAATCCAGCAGGCAGATAGTAGGCCAATACAGCAGGCAGATAGCAGGCCAATACAGCAGGCAGGTAGCAGGCCAATACAGCAGGCAGATAGCAGGCCAATACAGCAGGCAGATAGCAGGCCAATACAGCAGGCAGATAGCAGGCCAATACAGCAGGCAGATAGCAGGCCAATACAGCAGGCAGATAGCAGGCCAATACAGCTGGCAGATAGCAGGCCAATACAGCAGGCAGATAGCAGGCCAATACAGCAGGGCAGGGGGAGACGAGGCAGAGGGCGCATGGCCGTGGGGAGAAGGGGGCGAACTTCTCAGCACTTCAAATCTTGCCCCACGAACCTCATTCCGACAACCCTTTCCCCCTTACTCCTGCACTCCCTTCCCCCCTACTCCCACTCTTCTCTCCCTTGCTCCCAGATCGTCGGCCGATACAGCAGGGCAGGGGGAGAGGAGGCAGAGGGCGCATGGACGAGGGGGGAGGGGGGAGAGGAGGGCGGGGAAGAGGGTGGGATGACGGGGGGCGAGGAGGAGGGAGAGGAGGAAGAGGAGGTGGAAGAGGCGGAGGTGAGTACGGTTTCGCAGGGTAGTTGGTGCTATGTGAGGTACTGTATTCCTGTCCCTTTCTTGAGACATCTCAATATGTATTAGTTGTTACTTTTTGTCCGATTGTTGCAATTTATGACTCCCTCCGATGCCTTCTTGGCTGGCAAGCATTCCTGCCGGCATATTTTTACATGATCACTCATTGATGATTCTTTTCTTTTCCTTTTCAGGACCAGGAGGAAGAGGCAGGGGCTGAGCGGCCATTGGTTGGGAGTGTGGGATGTGTGTGTGTGTGCAACAGCTCAGTGCGCACTCCTTTGTATCGTGCTGCACTGTGCTCTTTGGGAACTGGCTATGTTCAATGAACATGGCTTTGGAGTTGAAGTCAATGCGCCCTGACCTGACATGTGTGCAACAGCTCAGTGCGCTGTGCAGATGGCGCTTAGTACTGGGCAGGATCAATGAATCGTATATCATTCCAGTCGTGTTGAAGTAAATGGTTTTGGAGAGCTCACAAGTTGGATTACTTTCAACTACTGTATCCCCCTGCATATACGCTACTGGGCAGGGCTGTCGTTTCAAAAACAAGTCTGAGTTTGATCCTCCCACCGCCCCCCCCCCCCTTTTTTTTTTTTTTTTTTTTTTTCATATTACTTGAGACCCTGGTTTTAAGACAGCATTTAAGCTGCAAATTGGCAACCGAATAATCGCTGGAACACATGTATAGTGCTTTTATAGTAGCTGTGTCATTCTTACTTCTAATATTTACACTGAGTTACTGGTTTGGTTGGTGATTAAAACGGGTCAGAAGCCCCGCATTTCTCGGTTTCCTCACCGCGCCTCGGATCGCGTTGCTACTTGAAAAACGCGTCAGCAACAAAATTGGTGGCAGAGGTGAATCTAGTTACCGTACTGGAACTGAGTGCGCTGTTTTAAAACTTGGTTATACTCGTATTTGCCGATTTGAACCCAAGGTTTTCATCTGCCTTGATCACCATACTTGGCGGCGTGAATCGCGCTGGTTTGGGTGAAACGGGCTCACCGTACTGGATAGCAAAGCGTCGTTTAGCACCCAGGTCTTTCCCATGAAATCCGATTTCAACCCACGTTTTTCAAGTGCCTTCATCTGGATACATCGCGGCACAAATAGCGCACCTGGGGAGCATCTCTCACTCATCACGTTCATCCCATCTCCCTCCCAATCTCATTCATTTCACTCCCATCTCTCGACCCCGTCTTCTTCGGCCATCATGACAACGCTTTTCCGCCTTACGAACATTGTCCGCGCCGTGCTGGTCTTGGCACTGGCTCTTCTCCTCACATCCCACGGTGAGCAGCGCCCCTTTCCCGCCTCTATCCTGTTGTTCTGTGTCCCCGTAGAGTACCTGCAGAATGCAGCCGTACCTTACATAGCACCTCCGTGGTCTTTCAGACCTACTATTTGGTCTCCTTTTTCAGTAATGCTGATATCCAGGGACTTTAGCCTGCTTGGGATTATATTTTCTTTGTAACAAATATTCTTAACACAGTTCCGTTGGCGGCGGGGAGGAAGACGAAGGAGGCGGATTTCGCGGAGTACTATCAAACTCGCGGCGAGACGTGCGCCGTGTTGCTGAAGCGATACTACGCGGGCAAGCAATTCAAATTCGCGGCCCTCAACAACGGCCGTCGCTGCCAGGACCCGGTTGCAAAGGACACGATTATCCGGGTTGTGTGAGCGCGCTGGTGCGTTAACCCGAAAATTTGACGGGATTCAGCGTCGTATGGCACAGTGACCTGCCAGTGGGAGGTGATAGCTGAAGATGGTGGCTGGCGTTGGTCCAGCATCTCATCGTTGCATCTTCTCATGTTGTAGTGTACTTTAGGTACTGCATTTTCCATTACGACCTCGCTGTTAGTGAAGCTACCTAGTGTACTTAATAGCGGCTCAACAGCAATACTGTTGATGTACGTGTCTGGATTGGCCTTGGCTGGGGAATCAATCCAACGAACCATGCTCTCCTGTCGGATTATTTGCGGTTGCGAATTGCACGAGCACACCATTTCATTACAGTACGGTCTACCCTGTACATGTCCTGCCAGTCCTGGTTTTGTCTCACTCATCTGGTACTTAGTGAAAGCTCATGAACTGAATTTCACTGCACCCGAGGCTTAATGTTGGTCACTAAAAACAAGTCTTGAGTGGTTTCTACTAGCTTTTTCCCTAGCGCATGATACAATTATGCTCAAAGTCATACGTAGATGTGAGTAAATTTCAAAGGAACGACATGGGCACAAAACCATGCCTGGCAAGCTCTTGGACCACGCTGCTCCATGCTTGTAGGCATCGCAAGGGATGTTGAGTTGAGTACATGTGAGAACATGCATGCTACCATGCATGCAAAGGCTATGAAACCACATGCGACTGTTCACGAGAGGGTGAGGATGCGGGTGTGAGCGCATGTGAGGGTACGGGCGTGATTGCATGTGTGGGTGTAAATGCACATGACAGTGTGAGTGTGTGTGATGGCACAGCAAAGAATGAGTGATCAGCCGAGCTGTGCTTGCAGCGCGCACACCCATGATCGCAGCAGCAGGGACCACGGGGCACAGGGGAAGGCAGAGAGCAGGCAGACTGCCACCTGGGAGAAACAAGGAGCAGGGGAGGTGACAAGGGGGAGAGGAGAGAGAAGAATGAGATTTAAGAAATCGCAAAAACCAACTCACCACACATGACGGCCAAGATACCTTACCACCCTCCAGCACACATTGCACTCTTGGGGTGGGGTTATGAGTGGTCTAGTCCCATCCCCTTCACGTTATGAGACACTTTGCGCACTTCAAGTTAATAACAGCCTAGTCCCATCAGACACTCAGTCAGTCACCAAAGCAGGCCTCTTCACCAACGCTTCTGCTGCTGTGCTTACCTCGAGTCATCCATCCACCTGCCTCACCACTCGTCTCCTGCTGCTGTGCTCCCAACTGCTCAAGGCCTACCAAGCCACCTTCTCACCCAACTGCTCCCTCTTCTGACCCTCTTATCCGGCCCCCTCCTCCCCCTGCCATCCCTCTCCTCCCCCTGCCATCCCTCTCCTCCAAGAACCCCCCCCATGTACATCACTCTCTACTACATAGTCACCCGCCTCCCTGACTCCCTTCGCGTAGTCAGGGACCACTTTCTCTCAGTCTGTCCCACCACTCTCACTGTTGACCTCCTCGAGAAGGCCCTCTTAGCAGCGGAGAAGAGCATAGTCGCTGTAGGAGCCTCTCGTGGTGACCCGCGCACCCCCATCTTTGAGGGGTGTTCCCCCTCCCCCCTTTTGCCCTCTATTGCCTCTGCTGCTGCGGCCGACCTCGTTGGGCTTGAGTCGGTCGGTGCGGCGTCTACCCCTAGTGGGAGACGCCGCTCTGGCAAGGGCAAGGGGGGCAGGGGCGCTGGAGGAGCTAGCGGGGGCGGTGGAGGCGGCGGTGGAGGCGGCGGAGGGAGTGGGGGTGGCGGTGGGGGTGGTGGCGGGGGTGGAGGTGTCGGTGGCGGCAGTGGAGGCGGAGGCGGCGGCGGTGGCGGTGGGAGCGGAGGTGGTGGAGGTGGCGGAGGTGGAGGAGGCGGTGGCGGAGGAGGAGGAGGAGGAGGTCGTGGCTCTTCGCAGAGGAGTGGCTCCGGTGGTGGTCAGCGCCAGCAGCAGCAGCGCAGTCGGGAGACCCTGTCCCCTCAGCAGCTCCGTGAGTGGTACGCTGCACGCCAGCGGGGTGGGGGTACTGGTCCGTGCACCTACCTCCTACGCATCGGCAACCGTGCGGGTGAGCAGTGTGGGGGTGCGCACCCCACCCAGCGCTGCTTTGGCCGCCTGACGGACGCTTGGCGTCACCAGTTCCCTGAGGCCACTGAGATCCCTCGCTTGGGCGAGCTGTCTAGGGCAGGGGTAGCTATCTTTGACCTTGACTTTGATGCTATTCTTGCTGCTATGTATACTGTGTCTATTAGTGAGGAGGGTGACTGTTACCGGTGTTTCCCACCCGACCCGGGCATTGAGCCTGCTGCTCTAGGTGCTGGTGAGGCTGCTGCTCTTGGTGCTAGCGAGGCTGCTGCTCTAGGTGCTAGTGCGTCTGCTTCCTCCGGTACTGGTGAGTCTGCACTCTCAGGTACTGCGTCGGCTTCAGCCTCCCACACCTTCACACTTGACTCGGGGGCTTCTCGCTCCTTCTTTCGAGACCGCACCACACTCACGCCGCTTGGTCGGCTAGTTGCGGTCTCTCTGGCAGACTTCTCTTGGGGTCCTGTCCTTGCTCACTTCTCTCCTGTCCTCCCTTCTCCGGCAGCCCCCTCTGGCACCCTGTCTGGTCTTTACCTCCCCTCGTTCTCTACGAACTTGGTGAGTGGTGCTGACCTACAGGATGCGGGGGTTCACCACTTCACTCCTGCGAGTCAGCGGGTGACCCGCTGCACGGACGCTCGGACAGGCCGACACCTGGCCACGTTTACACGTCGGCCGGGGTCAAGCCTGAACACACTGACCACTGCGTCTCCTCCAATCTCTACGTGTGGTCAGGTAGCTGCGTCAGGTCAGGTGTTAGCTGCAACGTCTAGGTCTGGTCCTGAGTCTGCCCCCTGCTCGTGTCGCCTCCTGTCTCACGAGACTCTCCTCTGGCACCACCGCCTTGGTCACTCCTCCCTGCTTCGTCTCCGAAGCATGGCCTCCCGTGTCCTTGTCTCTGGTCTTCCCCGGTCCCTCCCTCCCCTTCCTCCGGGGCCTGGCCCTACCTGCGTCCCCTGTGTCGAGGGGCGGCAGCAGGCTACCCCTCACTCCTCCCAGTTTCCTCCGACAGAGGCCCCGCTGCAGACGCTTCACATGGACGTGTGGGGCCCAGCCCGCGTCCGTGGACAGGGTCACGAGCGCTACTTCCTGTTGGTGGTTGACGACTACTCGCGTTACACCACAGTCTTCCCCTTGCGCAGCAAGGGTGATGTCACTGAGGTGTTGATCGACTGGATCCGCGCAGCTCGTCTCCAGCTCAGGCGGAGCTTCGGCTCGGACTTTCTTGTTCTGCGTCTGCACTCTGACAGAGGCGGAGAAATCTCCTCTGGCCTTCTGCGAGCCTACTGTCGTGCACGGGGTATCCGCCAGACCTTCACGCTTCCGGACTCTCCACAGCAAAATGGGATTGCTGAGCGCCGCATTGGCATGGTCATGGACGTCGCCCGTACGTCCATGATGCATGCGGCTGCCCCCCATTTTCTATGGCCGTTTCCGGTTCGGTACGCGGCGCATCAGATCAACCTTCAGCCCAGGGTCTCCATGCCGGAGACCTCCCCAGCTTTGCTGTGGACGGGGAAGGTTCGCGATGCGTCTGCGTTCCGTGTCTGGGGATCTCGAGCGTTTGTCCGCGA